ACCCCACTGGGTACTCATGGGTTCCCTTTCCAAGTGCCCCCTGACCCGGTTTTAACCGCCTGCTGTGCTCCCGTGTGAACAGCAGCTCCCAATGTAGCTGTCACTGCCAGGTGGGTGGCTCTGGAAGAATCCGCATGCCCTGCAGGGATGGAGGAGGGGCATGAATCAGGCACTGATGCCTTGGGCACAGCCTGGGGACCCTGCCTTCCGGAGCTCTGCCCCTGCACCAGACTCTGGGTCCTCAGGGACCAGAAGCGTCCTACTCAGCCCCAGCCCCAGGCCAGGGTGGTGCCCAGACAGAGGCCACCAACCTGGCTGCCCTTGCTGGGGGAGGACCCTAAGCCCACCCCCTCAGTCACCACGAGGGAGCCCTGGGGATTCACCCCCCCAGCCCCAGGAGGCAGGAGAAGGGGCAGGTCCTGCCTTGGCAGCCAGCAGATGGTGCTGCACATCCCATTCGGCCTGAGTATCCTCCCCTCTCCAGGCTCAGGCTCTTCCCCTAGAGACCCGGGGTTGGGGGGTGAGGGCCACCACTGTGCAATGCACCCAACTCATTGACAGTACCCAGCAGCCTCCCGGAGGTGGGAGGTGCACATGGTCTGGTCTGGCAGGGGGTTCACCCAGCATGGCAGAATTCAGGACACTATCCCGTGGGAGGGGGCCCCTGTTCAGTGCGGAGGTTGGAGGCATTTGGAGACAGGCAGGGCCAGTGGGATTCTTGGGGGCACTGTGGGGGCGGGCTGCCAGCCCCTTTCCTGTGCCGGCCCCGGTTGCTGCTGTGTGTGGCTTTGATGAATAAGAGATGAGGAAGTAGATTAATTATGGCTTAATATGAACCAAAGTTGGGCAGAGGGACTCCTTGGGGTGCAGGGCTGATTACCAAAGGCCAAGACACCCTCTGTAGCCCCAAGATTGGGGATGGTGGGGGGCTTCTGGAGGAAGCAGTGGCTGTGGGAAGGGCTGCCAGGATGTAGGTCTGTCTAAACTCCCTGAGCTCTGTTTTCCTGTCTGTAAAATGGGTAGTGGGGGTGGCGTCTACACCACAGGACAGAATGGGACGATGTACTTAACAGGCCTGGCACAGAGTCCTCTTGGGCCTCGGGCAGGCAGCTGCCCTCTGTGGTGACAGCAGATGGTGGGCGGGCGCCCGCCAGCTCCCTGGCACTGAGACCACATTCCCAGCCACCCACTCAGAGTGCTGGGAAGCATCACATTGGAGCAGCACTTGGGCACAGGAGCAGATTTTGCGGCGTGACCCTCGAGGATCCTTCCAGGTTTCTCCTTGCACCGCCCTGGGGTGGCCCAGAATGTGTGTAGCAGAGACCGTGTACCTCACTTCCCCACCCCTCCCCAGGAGGGCATCGAGGGACTGGATGCCCATGGGTACCCCACCAGGCTGCCAAGCAAAGCCACCACAGGCCTGTCTCTCCAGGATGGAAACAAGCCTCCAGGAGCCCATGGAAGTGGCGACCTTCTAAGGAAGTCGAACCATGTCCCTGTCAGCCCAGCACCAGACACAGTGGAAGGGTCCCCTCGTCCAAGCTGGATTCTATGAGTGGACCTGGAGGTTTGAGTGAAAATCGCACACTGCCCAATTAGGGCCCTGCATGGCCCTCTCAGGGGACAAGAGAGGTAGACGAAGGAGGGACCGTGAGCAGGTGACCCAGCCCAGGAGGCGTTAGTGTCTGCCTTGTCCACATGCTGTACTGAACTCAGAGAGACCAAGGGGCTGGGCCCAGGGCACACAGCCAGGAGAGCCCTCTCATGCCTGATATGCTAATGGTGGAGGCTGGTCCCCAGGACTGAGGGGTGAGGCAGCCCCATGTCAGTACCAGGCCTCCTTGGAGGGGAGTGGTGGGCTGGGTGAGCTGGCAGAAGGCCATGCCCTACGTGTGGTGGTTCTGAGGGGGAGCAATTCAGGCAGAAACCCAGCCCAGGCAGGGTGTAACAGGTCTGTTTAGCCCAAGAGCAGATCTGCCTGCAGTCTCCAGTCCATGCGTGCTCCTGATCCCCAGGGCAACATGTCTCAGATCAGTGCAGCCCAAACGGCTTGTCATCTCTGCACCCCTGCTAGGCCTCCCAGGAACTGCTCAGTGTAGACTGCATTAAAGGGGCAGTGTGCAGCCAGGCTCTTCCTATGAGGTCTCTGGGTCCTCCCACAGGGGTTGACCCCTAGGGCTGGCTGTGCCCCTTGACCAGAAGCTGCAGCCCCTGTCAAGCCCTCTGCACTGGTCCCTCACCAACTGTCATCTGCCCTCCCTCCCTCGCCCTCTGGGACCTGGGTGGTGATGGCTCTACAGCTGCCCTCCTGGGAAGGGCACCATCCCTCATGCTGTCCTGCACCTGCCCACACCCTGATCCATGTGCCTCCCCACATCTCCAGACTGAGAAGCCAGCTGTGTCCTGTTGGAGGCAGACTGATCCGCCACCCAGCCCTGCTCAGCTCCCGTTCTGCCTGCCATGGGCCCCCTCAGGGCTAGCCCACACCTGCCCACCCTAGCCAACACCCACAGCGAACACCCAGAAGTCATCCCACAGACTGGGCTTCTGGAGACAAGGGCGCTGGCCAAGGTGCTGACTGGAAAGGGCTTGGGAAACCTGCCCGCAGCCCACAGCGGCCAGCTTGCAGGCCTCAGCCCCGATCCAATCGCACAGACTTGTGGGCAGGTGGGAGGCCCAGGCCACAGCCCAGAACAGCCAGGAACATCTGGGCTTGGTGGCTGGAGAGGGTCCCAGTGCAGGAAGTCTCCATGCTGTGACACTGGCTCCCCGTTCCCTCTCACATGTGCCTGTGCCCCAGAATGGCTGCCCCCAGCTGCTGCAGGAGAGGCTTTGAACCTGCAGGGAGGCAGGGCACAATCTTCAGCAGTAGTGGGCCAGCCCAGGGCCCTGGGTCATTATAGCCACCCAGGAGCATAGGATCCTGGTCCACACTAACCCTGACCTCAGACTCATGGCCAGTGCCACATGAATTGTCATCTGGTCTGAGGTGGCCCTGTGGGGAGAATTCTTCCTGATCTGGGAGCTGCTGCATGCAGGGACCCTGGAGGAAGGGTGCTGACATAGGGCACAAGCCTCTGCTGGCTCTGTGAGCTTGGCCGCAGGTTCCCCATGTGTACAATGGGGTACACACCTCCCGTGTGGCATGGGGAGGACTCACTGATGGCACTCAGCAACCAGCACCCACTGGGGAGGCGGCAGTGAGTGCATGGCCGGGGGGGGCAGGAGCAAGTGCACAGGAGCTGGGGCGTCTGGGTTCCACTTTACCTCCTGTGTGTCTGGGAATCAAACGTACTCCTTGGTAAACCAAGGCTGGGATGCAGCTGACAGGGACCGAGCAGGCAAAGGTGTGGTCAGGGCCACAGTGCAGCAGCCAGAGAGGTTTGGGCAGTGCGGCCTCCACACCAGGCCAGAGGGCCAGCATGGGTACCTCATTGGTCTCCACCCCACAAGGCTGCCTGCGACTCTGTGCTCAGATGGGAACACTGGGCTCAAAGAGGTCCCCGCTCTCCCTTGGCGAGGCTGGCAGGCTGAGAGCCCTGCACTCTGCTGATTTCTCCCAGTGCCACCTCCGCAGTGTGGAGGCTCAGTCTGGAGGGGAGGCAGCGTGCCCCGGCCTTCCCAGTCACCAGGTCATACTGGCTAGGGCTCCCAGGGGGACCACCACGCCCTCAGCCAGGATGTTCCAGCCACAGGGAGGGACCCAGGGCTTGCCCTGGTCAGATCCCGCAGACTGGAACCAACTCTGCCAGCCAGTCCCACATCCATGTGGTCCTCTCACCTGCAGGGCAGGCTTGAGGAGGCCCAGGCCCAGCAGATCAGCTCCCAGTGCACCTCCATGTGCAGGGCAGCCTGCAGGCACGCTGGCCTGGCACCTGGCTGAAGACTCCAGGATGCACCTGGAGCTTCTCTGTGAGGCCAAGGAGAGCCCCAAGCAGGAGAGGGAAGTGGGACGCCTGTGCCCGGGTGCATGTCGGGTGCAGGGTCATCGGATTCTCCGGTCCTAGAGCCTGGGCTGGCTCTGTGGCGGGTGGGGAGTACTAAGCAGGAGGGCTGAAGGGAATCTCCTGAGCTTGGAGCCCCCACTCTACGGGAGGGAACAGATGGGGGACACCTGCGGGGGTAGGGGCAGGACTGTGCCTGCATCCCTTCCCCGGGGTGGTGCAGGGAAGGGCCACAAAGATGGGTGGGGGGCTTCGGAAGTCTCTGGAGCTTGAGGCTCAATTTTCTAACTGAAAAATGGAGCCATCCTACTCCAGCAAAGGGTTGCTGGGTAGGATTTACTGAGGCAGGAAGAGAGTAGGCCAGGCAGAGATGCCGTCCCCCCAACCCCCCCGCGATCCTCAGGCCTCAGGACAAAGCCCTTACCGGTGTCTGGCCGCGTCGGTGACCCCCACACCCGGGCCAGCCCGGCCGCCACGCCCTGAGACGCGCGCTCTCAGCCCTCTCTGGCCCGGGCCGCCATCCCCGCGGCCGCCTGCAGGGGCCGCCGCCTCTTCAGAAACGCGCCGCCTTTGTCTGGGCCGCACGGCGGAGCACCGCCAGCCTGAGCGCTCCTGCG